CTATAGGCCAATGATCTGAAGTGAGTCTAGGGAGTGCTCTAGAATTTAGGTTCCCCCAATGCTCCTCCCAATCTGTTGAGAACAAGAATCTATCCAACTTAGTGCAGATTGGGTTAGATTGAAGGTTGGACCAAGTGTAGATGTTGCTTTGGATCGGGAATTCCTTAAGCTGAAAAGTATCCACAAATTGATTGAAATTTCTCATGCTGGTTGTCACTCTCTGTCTGGGATTGTTGGTTTCCTCTGTGAATGTTACTACATTAAAGTCCCCCCCCCCACACACCAAGGTCCTTCCCATAGCCCCCTAATATCACTCAATTCTTCCCATAACCTCTTTTTCTTCCTATAGTCATTGGGGCCATATACATTTGTTAGTACATTCAAAACCATCTTCCACCTGCCTGAATTTCATAGAAATTGAATGATCCCCTATCAGTTCTTCCAAACATACCACCACATCTTCCTTCCACAATGTTATGATCCCACCCGAGGCTCCCCAAGATGGCTTAGCCACCCACTTTATCCCTTTAGAACTCCAGACACTTCTTGCCCATCTACTATCAAAGTCCATTCTCTTGGACTCTTGGATTAACATCACATCCGGATTGAACTTCCTAATTACTTCTTTGATAGTTGCTCTCTTCCTTGCATTACCCAATCCCCTCACATTCCAGCTTAGAATTCTCATCTCAACTTTAGAATTTAACCCTAAAAAACCACCAGATATCTATTTGAATCCTTTCCTTCTATCCCTTCTCACCCCAAACTTATTATCCCCCTCGATATCTCTTTTTAATCTCTCCACTTCACTCAATTTTCTTTTCTTAATCTTGTTCTCCTCCTTTCTTTTTGTTAGGGAAACTTTTAGATCATTTAGATTCTTCAGCTTACACCCCATCTTTCCAACAAATTCAGCTATCAAATCATCCTTCCTAGTCTCCTTCCCTTTTTCATTTCTGTTCTTTCCATAACTAGCCCTCTCCTCCATTCTAAGCTCCTCCTCCTCATTGCACACCAGCTCAGACCCATTTGTAACTCTCCTTTGTAGCTCATTGTAGAGAACACTGATGTGGGCCCCACAGCTACGGTCCCACTGTGTTCGTAGGGTAGAAGGTGTTCTAGTCTTCCTAGGGTTAGCCGTTGGTCATTTAGTTGTTTCAGTTGCTATTTATTTCAGTCTTATTTTGCTCTATTATGTTATGTAAAGACTAAGGGCAGATCTGTCCTTTCCATGTAATGAGCATAACCTATAAATATTAATTAAAGTGGCGGCGGCAGAACATTAAGCTTCTGCTCCTCCTTTCAACTCGTGTTCTACTACTTTTCCTCCCTCTTCCTCCTCTCTTCTCTTTACCTTTCTTCTTATTTTCGAACCTGAAATCCATTAGGGTTCAAGACTGATAACAGTCCTGAACTTCTACTTGGTATCAGAGCTAGGGTTTCTCATGTGAGTCTAGTCCAGCCGACCACATGAGAACCATCTAAGGCTGGAAGCTGAGAAAATAGAGTTCGTTGACTGGTTCTTGGAGATCTCCAGAGGGTTTAGCAGCTGTTTGAAGAATTGCCACAGTTGCAGCGTGTTGGTGATCAGGAAGAATCAGAGAAGGTTAGGGTTCGGGTAACCTTGGAAGGCAGCGAACAACATCTTATTTTAAGTTTTTTATTTTCTGAGAGAAGTAATATCAGAGAAGATAGGTTGGACCTATCTAGCAAGGGCGGCCGAACCACTCTAGGGTTTTATCTTTCTATTCTCTAGGGTTTTGTCTTAACCCTGTGGCAAACCCTAATACTGGACTGAACCTTGTGATCTAATACAACGGCTAACCCTAGGAAGACTAGAACACCTTCTACCCTACGAACACAGTGGGACCGTAGCTGTGGGGCCCACATCAGTGTTCTCTACACTCATTTTTTTTTCGATTTCACCCATTATGCTCTCAATGATTCCCCATATTCTTTCTTTCCTTAAAGTTCCCTCCATCCTCACCTCTCCCCCCTTCTTTCCTTGAGGACTCAGTGTGGCCTCCTTCTCATGGGCTTCTGAGACTGGACTGGGAATGGAATCTGGAACAAGAGAAACAGAAGCCGCATCAGTAGCAAAAGCTAAATGAACAGGGTTAGCAGGGTTACCTGGGTTCGGCTGGGCAAGGGAATTGGGATTGTAGGCGGGCAGATGGTTGTCAAGCCCTGTGTGTCAAAATTGGAGTTTTCTGTCTCCTCGTTTTGGAGGGAAATATTCCCCATCATTCTGTTTTCACAATGACTCCTCCCCTTACCCAATTGTTTACCATTCTGTGATGTATTCTTGCTCAGTTCTGGGTTAACGTAAGCTAACACCTCGGTTTTCCGTACAGCACTAGCGCTTGAGAGAGGCTTTTCCAGTTCTGGGCACCAGAATTGCCCCCCGCCTCTTTGATTGTGAGTCTCTCTGTTTTCAGCCTCTGCGTTGTGCATCTCTGCCTCCTTGTTCCCTTCTTGTTCTCCCACCAAATCTCCATGGAATAGGCGGTCGAAGTTTAGGGACTCCCTGTTATAGTCCTCTTGAGATCCTTCATCTTCCAAGCTTCCAAAACTTGAGATGTCGTCTGAACTCTCCTCCTCAAAGTCACTGTCTGAACCACAACTTATCCACCCTTGGTCTTCTACATCCCTCTCTTCTTTCTTATCCCTCAGATAGCGCGGATTAGGGCGATCTGCTGCCCTACTTTCCTGTTCCTCAACACCCAGTCGAGGGACCCAACACAGAGATCGAGTTTCTCTCTCTGTTTGGCATTTTTCTTTTTGTTTCAGTTAATCTCTCTGCCTCCTCGAGTATTCGTAAGTTAATCTTAGAAGGTGACTCCAAATTAGAGGTGGGATGGTTGAATGAAGAGAGGAACGGCCTTTGGAATGACAGCAATGAAAGGAAAATGTTCAAGTGGTTAACACAAGACTTTGAAGTTAAAGTGGTGTGGGTCAAAAGAAGTACCAACCCCATAGCTGATGGGTTAACAAAGCAAGGGGTGAATATGGTTCTATGTTTTGGGCTCGATTGTAATTGCTGTTACTTCTGTATTTTGGTGCGGTTGAATTTCTACAGGGAGAGCTAAGAGAGTTTATCTCTCTCTGTTTTGTTCCTGGCTTTGATATTTAATAAAGTTTACATTATTTATAAAAGAAATGAAGGGCCTCAGTTACTTTGTCATCACGTCATAGGTTAATTTTCTTACATCCAGAGTGAACATATCATTCAAGTTGGTGCTGAAGTCGGCCAATTTATTGGCTGATTCTCTAGCTTTGGCCCAGGGTAGCTAGGAGGTTGGAAGGTTTAAACTGTTTGGAGATCCTCTCTACCTAGATATCATTAGATGCATTCTATGTTGTCTACCACTTTCAATTTTTTTTTTCCAATTAGTATTTGGTCTTCGTACTTTATGGATGATCTTGGTCTGGTCCTCTCTTGTTTTGAGAAGATTTATTTCTCAGGACCTATATTTTTTGGGGACTTAACAAATTACAAAAGCTGAGTTGTGCTAGCCAGGCCGATTGGGGACTAAGTTGGGGCAGATCCTTCAACTATAAAAATGTTGTGGTAGTGGAAGAGGATTCCCAGGTAGTTGGTGCTTGGTTAAAGAACAAAAGTCAAGGCTTGTGGCAATGTTGAGATATTATGAAGGGAATACGATGTCTGGCTAGGGAATGGAGAATTGCTTTCATCTGGGTCTAACGAACTCTGATTACTTGGGTAAGAGAGGGAATAAATTGGCTCTTGTTCTTGCTTACATTTCCCTTTTTCCCAAATGCTTCATGGCACTAACAAAAAGGTCTATTCTCTGAGCAACTTCTCACTTTATCCAAAAGCAGCTAGCTGCCAATAACTCATTCAGGAAAGGATGCTTGGAGAAGAGAATCAAAATCCCAAAAATGTTTGAACTGTCATGCTGGGTTCTACTCTTGTTAGCACGACAAACAAAGAGGTGATTCACTGATTGTTCTGTATATATCTTGTTATGGATTTTGGAACCACATCTCCAGAAGCTTGAGCTTTTGAAGGAGCTAAATGTTTCCTCATTGCCCTGTGTGGAAGGAGGCTCTTACGTAGGAGTCCAAAAAATGAACTTAGAAGGAACTAGAAGGGAAAAACTTACTAGCTGCAATAGAACATGCTCTAAAGACCATACTTTGGGTAGAAATAAAGACACCATCAAGCATTTTGATGGGAGAACACTTCCAAAGCTTCCTTATCTCTATATCTTGGATTTTACTTGAGTTCCACTCATGATACGATTTAGACAAAACAAACAAAGATATCAAGATAATTCCTCTAATTCATGCATATCATAAGATTTTCTCTCAACAATGAGATGTGGACTTTATCATTGGCCTTCTAATTTGAGTGATTTTAAGAATGTTAAGTTCATTATCTTCACATTGGATTGCCATATGACAGTAGCCCATCTCAAACTTTGGCATTGGTAATTTGATATTCTATCAAATATAGAGGGGTGCATTCCCTTATGCTACTAATTAGAAATTTTACCTCATTCAAAAAAAAAAAAAAAATACCATCCTTGTTTTTCTTTATTTTCCATTGCTATAGTGTTAATTGAACATCAACAAAATCGTTTTATCGGTTGCCTGGTTGGGGAGGGGGGAAGAAAAGCTTTCATTGTGTAATCAACATTTATCTATAAGACCCCATCTTAAGCAGAAACACATGCATGTTGGAAGTTAAAAATAGTGACTTGGTGCAAGTAGAATACTCTAAAAGAGCAAGAGGAAGGCCAAAGAAAATGCGCTCAGAAGTGGTAAAATATGATCCATGGGCTGACAATTTGATAGAAAACATGGCTTGTGATAGAGCATAGAACAGGATTTGTTTATCCAGTCCCACTAGTTGGGATTAATGTTTTTTTTGTTGACAAGGTTATACATTTTATTGTTAATAAAATCTTGTTCTTTTGTTGATAATCAGAAGGCAATACATTTAATTTGTATTTCCCCATTGAAATATCATGCAGCTATCTCCCTGGACCAGATGATATGTTAGTGCTGGACATAGCTTACATGATTTATCTTAAGTTTGAAGAGTACCCTAGTGCACTTAGGATTGCACTCTTCCTGGACAACTTGCAGGTATGAATTTCATAATAAAAATAAAATTGATTCCTCTCATAGTTTTGGGTTTGCTATTTACGCGGCTTAGGGTTCAATAGAATTTTTTTGGATTATGGAATTTCTCTTTCCTAAACTTCTCTGAAAATTTTTAATATGAAAAAGACAGTTATTGTGGTTATGCATCCCTAATAACGTCAACTTATTGTACTATTCTTATACTTTTCTTATTTGTCCTTAACAGTATGTGAAGCAGATATTTACATCTTGTGATGATGTTCTACAAAAGAAGCAGTTTTGTTATATTCTTGCTCGACATGTAAGTTTCTGAGTTTTCATAATTGGGTTCATATTTCCATGGCTGGTTTTCTATATATATTTTGCTTTGTGTATGATTCAGTTGTCATTGTCTAACTGATATATTTCTAGAAGTTACTAGTGCTAGAATCACTGCTTTTATTCCTTGAAAAACCAAATCCAGCATAATTATTTAGGGGATCCCTTGTCCCACAAAGAATCATAGTACCATTTTGGTATGTTTTAGATTGGTTATAATACCACATAAATGCAAACGATCCCTAAATGATTAAGAAATATGAAAAGTATTTCATTCATTTTAGTTCAGAAATGTTTATGAAATAATGGTTGGATCAACTGACCTTTCAGCTTTCTTAAAATCCTATTCAGGGAACTAAATCTTAGTCCTTGGCAACCCTTTATCATATCATTTTTATTGGTAATTGATAACTTTGTTATTTGAAAAAGCTTAATTTACATTGATTGAAGGGTACTGAGTGCCCAAAGCAACTCTGGCTAGTATGAACAGAACTATCAATCCCATTATCATTTCATATGGAATATGGAAAACCAATAAAAATAAAACGTTGAATAATTAAATTTGAATTGATTAGATAATTATTTCTTAGATTGAATGAATTTTGATTTTTTAATTCATTTTAATTGAATTTGAATGACAAATTGACAATATATTCCATTGAGTTCAGATAAGAAGACATCCTGTTTTTTATAAAGGCGGCACACTCCTAGTGAGTAGGCCAAAAGTAATGTTTTCAGATCTTGTTTCACATATTGAGTTTCCACTGATGATTATGGATGAGAAAAGTAAGAAAACAAGGTTTTGGAATGGACAAAATAAGTGGATTCCTTTGAACGGGAATATTTTGTAGATATTTAAAGGTGTGATGTCTACTTGCATGGCAGGCTATAACTTGTCTTCTGGATGGATATTTGATTGCTGAGAGTTCTTGATGCAGGGTGTTGCATTTGAACTTGATGAAGAGATGGTTGCAGACGATGATGACCGGGAAGCATTGCAGGATATTATCAACAACACCAAATTAAGTGAGGGATATCTTACTCTTGCTCGTGATATAGAAGTAATGGAGCCCAAATCCCCTGAGGATATATACAAGGTGCTTACTGACATTATACTAGAACCAACTTGCTTTTTGACTTTATTTTCTGCATGCTACTCCACATTTTTTTTTGATCAGTCATGCTACTCCAAATTCTAAAAGTAAAAAATCTCTTAGTTATTTTTCTGCCATCAATATATTCTAGGTTTGATTTTTGTGATATTTTTCTTCCTTTACACAAAAGGACTATCTTGGTTTTCTTTCTCTCCTTTATCTGTTGGTTAGAAAAATATAATGAAAAAACTTAAATATCCATAATGCCACTCAATTTTTTTTTTTTGATAAAAGGCAAGGTTATATTATAATGACATAAACAGAATGGGTAGAAACCCCTTTTTGACAAGGCTTGGTAGTGTAGTGCCCTAAATTTAGAAGACCCCTTTTTGACTCCGAAGTGGAAGAATCTATGCTGTTATTTGTCAAATCTTCAAGCAGTGGAGATTAATCCTGATAGGCCTGACATGAGATGGTGGAAGAAATGAAGAAATGGTCGGTGTAGAGCGAAATCTTTTAACAAGGCTTTGGCTAGGAACTGGGTTGAGCAGACCTCAATTCAATGATTTTGGGGTAGTACTATTATTGTTAATATTGGGGTAGTCTAATTCCTCCAAGGGTTGAAGCATTTGCCTGGCTGGTGGCATTGAACAATATTCTTTCTCAGTTGAGCAGTTTAGATTGCCTAGAAGTGTTACTTATGTGGTGTGAATTCTGAATCGTTTTTCATCTTTTCTTTGGCTGCCCTCATACAAAGTTTGTTTTGGGACATAGGGTTGGTTGTGTAAGTTGTTTGCTTATTAGATGAGTCTAATCTTGGTCCTTGGGTTGAAAGCATTATTCCCTCCCATCAGTACTAAATTAATAAACACGAATCTCATCCTTCTCCCCATATCTGGTTTCATATGCTTCTTCCTTCTTGTGGATGCTTTTGTTTTAGACACACCTCTTTAATCACCACTTTAAGACCATTTTTCACATCATCTTACATTACATTATTTGAAATATTAAAATGTCTATCAACTACTTGTGTTATATCTTAAAATATTTGTGTTAGTACAACACATGCTCTCTCTCTCTCTCTCTCACACACACACACACACACAAACATGCACATAGATCCCTCTCAATAAGGTATTGGAGTGCCTCATTGTAAGGCATAATTATTGCTTACACTTAAGCCTTGACATGTGTGGCATGACATGGGGCCTTCATTTCATATAAAGGTGTCATATTAAAGATCCAATAATTATTTTATTTAATTAATATGCTAAAATTCATGCTTTATTTACCAAATTATTAAAAACTTTTCTGACGCTCATGCTTATATCTCCTTCCTCTGCATATTTATTGCATCTTTCATAATTCTCTGGATATTTATTAGTTCTCATTTTTAATTATATTGAAGTAAAAGCTTGAGAATTCAAAGGTCCTAAATTTTTAAAATCATGTATCAAATGTCTTTCTTTTTTCTTTCCTGTGTGCCATTTGACAAAAAAGATATACAATTCCATTATGTGCTCTTTATGTTTGACTTTCTTAGGTGCATTTGCTTGATGGCCGGGCAAGTGCTGGTGCGAGTGTCGACTCAGCGAGGCAGAACCTAGCCGCCACCTTTGTCAATGCTTTTGTGAATGCTGGTTTTGGCCAGGTAACTATCCAATTATGTAGTGATGTTGGTTTTTATGAATTTTGTTTTCCACATGCTTAATGGATTTCCCTTATCTTTTCATTTTGTAGGATAAGTTGATGACTGTTCCTGCCGAAGCTTCAAGTGGTGGTTCCACTGGAAGCTGGTTATTCAAGAATAAGGAACATGGGAAAACCAGTGCTGCAGCAAGTCTGGTATTTCTTTTTCTTCTCCACTGGGATATGCTTTTCTTGGTTATGACCTTTTCAACCCATAGTTAATGTTTAAAGTTTGGCTATTGTAGGGTATGATTCTGTTGTGGGATGTGGATTCTGGACTTGCACAGATTGATAAATACTTCCACAGCAATGACAACCATGTCATTGCAGGTGCATTATTAGGAGTTGGCATTGTCAACTGTGGTATTAAGAATGATTGTGATCCTGTAAGCAACAGTCTATTTTTATGCTAAAACTTATTTGAAGGCTGCCATTTCTTTATTGTTATTATTATTATTATTATTGTTTTTTTTTGTGTTTTTTAAACTCATCTGGAACATCTCCAGGCGTTGGCACTTCTAGGTGATTATGTAGGAAAAGATGATTCAAGTGTTCGAATTGGTGCAATAATGGGCCTTGGCCTCGCTTATGCAGGAACCCAAAATGAACAGGTGAAGTACCCCCGCTTTTCACCCTTAGAGTGCTATTTTGTCCCTTAAAAGGATTTCCAAGCTCTACTTAAACTCTTAAGAGTAGGCTACCAAACTGTTAGGGTGATTCCTTATCACAAATGGATTAGAATTTGGTTCAATAGCATTTTCCTGTACATCCATTAAAACCCCTGCATTGAGATTATTGGTTGTTGAAGTTTTAACGATTCAAAACTAATTTGAATGGTTGTTGAACTATTTATTGTTTTTTGGATTTCTATTAATCACATATGCAGTTCCATTTTATGTTGACTTTCTTGTATTAACAGATAAGAAGGAAATTATCTCCAATTCTGGGAGATGCAAAATCTCCACTTGATGTGATTGCCTTCACTGCTATCTCATTGGGTTTGATTTATGTTGGCTCATGCAATGAAGAGGTTGCTCAGGCCATTATCTTTGCCTTAATGGATAGAAGTGATTCAGAATTGGGCGAGCCCCTCACTCGGCTTCTGCCTTTAGGCCTTGGCCTTCTATATCTTGGGAAGCAGGTAAATAAATTTAAACCTTGGTTCTCTTTTCTATTTTTTTTTGCTATCCTTGTTTCCCCTTCCAATTTCTTAAATTTTAATGTTTTCTTTTTCTGCTTGCTTATATTGTCTTGAAGTGACCAGAAACTCAAATAGGCCACAATACAAAGAATGGATGCCTTACAGTTCTTTGTCAATCTAATTGCTTTATTGTTTTACAGGAAAGTGTGGAGGCAACAGCTGAGGTGTCCAAAACTTTTAATGAAAAAATTAGGAAATATTGCGATATGACCCTACTATCTTGTGCCTATGCTGGAACTGGGAATGTACTCAAGGTCTTGTATCTGTCTGTTGGCCACATCTGCAGATTATTTTTAGCATGCAAAGTTGTTGACACTCTTTATTCGTACAGGTTCAAAATCTTCTGGGGCACTGTGCACAACATCTTGACAAGGGTGAGACACACCAGGGTCCTGCTGTTCTTGGAATTGCTATGGTAGCAATGGCTGAAGAATTGGGTCTTGAGATGGCCATTCGATCATTAGAACATTTATTACAATACGGAGAGCAGAACATCCGGAGGGCAGTTCCTTTAGCTCTTGGTCTCCTTTGCATATCCAATCCGAAGGTAAGCAATATGTGATACACATGTTTGTTGAATCTCATAGCATTCAACTGGGAAAAGGGATCTGGATTGAGTTTTATTAGGTTGGTTTGGTAAATGTTGCATTAGTTTCTTAGAAAATTTTATTAAGCAATGTATAGTTGGAACCATCACTGGGTAATGGTCCTTTTAGATGTAGGGTTATCTTTAGATTAGTTTGATTCTTGTGTTCTATATCTAGTCTTCTAGAACTATTTCTTCTTCACTTGTTTGTTGACTGGATATTGTTGGGCAGGTCAATGTTATGGATACGTTAAGTAGACTCAGTCATGATACAGATTCAGAAGTGGCAATGGTATGTGCTTTGCTATAACATTTTTGGAATCCAAACTTTTATCATTTTTCAGAACTCAATGTTTGTTGCTTCTACAGGCGGCCATCATATCGTTAGGTCTTATAGGTGCAGGCACAAACAATGCTCGAATTGCAGGCATGCTTCGCAACCTTTCGAGCTATTACTACAAAGAAGCTAGCCTGCTCTTCTGTGTAAGCTTCTCATTTCTCCTCCTTATTGGCTTTTTCTTGTGGTTGTCTGGGTGTTGCTAATTTTGCTTTGATTACATGATTAGGTGCGGATTGCTCAAGGTCTTGTTCATTTGGGGAAGGGGTTGCTGACTCTTGCACCATACCATTCTGACCGGTTTTTGTTGTCGCCGTAAGTAAAGGACACTGCCTATGTACCATCTTTTGCAATTTGAATACTACATGACATTCTAAAGACTGGGAAAGAAAAGGATGGAGAATAGAAGAGCTGTCAATGACCCAATACTTGAGATGGTCAGTTGGTGTAACTCCAAAAAGGGAGGTGCAGGTTCAAACCTGTGGAACTGCAGGATTTCTGTGGTTTGGCTGGCGGGACACGTGCACCCTGCTTTGTCCTCACCATTGATCCCATAATGTTTACATACCCAATAAACACAAAAGAATAAAAGAGGGGGAAACTGGAGTATAAGTGAAAGGAAAAATCAGTAGATCCTTCCTAATAACCTTTGATTAGTTAATACATTCCTCTAGATTTAAAGAGCAGCATAAAGTAGGTTTAGGGCAAGAAAATCTTGTTATTATCATTAATGCCAGTACTATTAATAGTTGTTTTATGATAAGGATGTGGCTAAAAGTTATAGATGGACCACCTATTTGTCTGGACTCTACAGGTTTAAAGGATCACAAATGCCTCTGCTTTGTTGAAGTATCTAACTTAAATTATTCCTGAGAGAACTAGAATAATTCAACTGTTTCCATCTTTGAGCACTGCCTAACCCTGATGGTCTAGTTTGCCCAAATAGTAGCTTTGTTCTTTTCTTCGGAGGGTAGGAGACATTTCTATTAAGGATCCAGGAAAATGAACTGCGTTAGCATCTTTGGAATTGTGGTGTTCATGTTTGCAAAATCAACTATTGTAATGTTATTTTAATGGTTGGCACCATAGTCCCTAGTTATTAATGCATCTTGGTGCTTCTAGGTGATAATGAGAAGCCTAGTTGATTAGGTGGGTGGTGTGTATAGAATTTTACAAAAAAGAACCTCAGGCTCCATTTGGATAAACTTTTGAGCTTTGGGCTACCGAAGTGAGTCAAAAAGTGTTTTGAGCATTTGATTAAGAGCTGCTTCTGAAAACATGATAATCTGAATCCAGGATACTTTCAGGCCCTAAAGCACAAAGCCTAAGACAAAGTGAGCGAAAGTTAGGGCTTTGTGCTTTAGGGCATTGAAAACACAAATTCTGAAGCTTATCCAACATAATAAGTATTCAATAGAGTAGTTGCATTGTTAACAATTGTTAGCAAATAAAGAAGGCTATAAATTTACACATAAAAAAAGAGAGAAAAAGGGAAAAAAGAATTCCATTTAATTGTAGAAAAAAGAAGGAAAATTTTTATCCCTATTTCTTTTGATCTTAATGGTAAAACCCTTGAAATAAGTCATAAGTAATATGCAAAATATATTTGGATAAAAAATGTTTAACATAAGTTATGATATATCACCAATAAAAATATGACATGATTTTTTTTTTATCACTAACTGAAAAAACAAGGCATGATGTATTAAAACAAGGATGAATATGTAGCCACGGTAACAATATTACAAGGTGCCTGTCTTGTGATTTTTGTTGCCTAGATGGTTACGCAAGTCGATTAAGACGTGGGGCTTCTCTATACAAATGATGGTGTTTTAGCAAGGTGCATCATGCCCATACCAAGGGCTCCTTGTTGCTTAGGTGTGATGCCTTGGACAACTTGGTTGGCACAACGATATATAGACAGGCCCCATTAATGATGATGCTGGGCTTTTATGTGGACCATGTGCTAGTAATGAATAGATTTATGATACAAAATCTTCTGTTGAAGCTTTCAAGGAACTTGTTAATGATATAATTTCATGTATCCTTTCCCCTCCAGGACTGCACTTGCTGGATTATTAATCATGCTTCATGCCTGTCTTGATATGAAATCAATCATCTTGGGAAAATACCACTATGTCCTGTACTTTCTTGTTTTGGCAATGCAGGTACTATTATCTTCTTTGTCCTCTTCTCAGTTCGAGAGTTGAGACACAAATATTGCAATATTTCTTCTTGACGTGGTCGCTTCCAATCTAACATCTTATCGGAAGTTATTAATGTATTTTTTGTTGTTTGATGTTACAGCCGAGAATGCTGCTGGCTGTGGATGAAAATTTGAAACCTCTGTCTGTGCCGGTACGGGTGGGCCAAGCTGTTGATGTGGTTGGCCAGGCTGGTCGACCCAAGACCATAACAGGATTCCAAACACACTCAACCCCTGTTTTACTTGCAGCTGGTGATAGGGCTGAATTAGCTACAGAGAAGTAATCCACCCAATAAAATCAAGACTCTTACACAGTGCTGTTAGCATTTAATCATTTATTGCATGCTAATGAAGTCTCTGTTTTTGCAGGTACATTCCACTTTCACCCATCCTGGAAGGTTTTGTGATCTTGAAAGAGAACCCCGAGTACCGGGATGATCGTTGAACTTGATGTTTCCAGAAACCTTGTGAATTGTGATTACAATTTCATCAATCAGAAGTTTCCAACCTGGTGGGCATGGACCCTCTTGTGCGCGTTGCTAACAGGGAAGTGGCTGTCATTCCGGTGTGAAGTTGGGAGTATCTGGAGATCTCCCTGACCTTGTATCAACGGTTTTTAATTTACGCATACGTATGCTTGAAAAGGGAAGGGGCTAAAGGTTTTTAATTTATCCATACAAATGCTTTGGAAAGGAAGGTACTAAAGAGAGGAGAAAGGGGAAGACTTGGGGAAGGGGTTGTAATTTAAACACCGAGATTTCGACTTGCATCCAAATTCTTAACTTTTTTGTTTTATTTTTTTAACCTTGCAAGTTAAACCATTGATTGCTTCGTTAAACGCGTTAGATATTTACCATATCTGGTCTTCACCCTTTCTATGTTCCCGTCCAATTGGTATTCCAGATCCATTTCCCAGGTCAATGTTAACCAAGATTGTCTGTTTCATTTCGTCTAGTGAGAGGAGAGTAGAGACTGGTGTCCCTTACCATTATCGTTTGTTCATGTGGCCCGAATAAATTCCTGAAGCTTGTCTCGTTATGACTCATCCGAGGGTGTCCAGTCAACAGTCAACACCCAATTTGGAAGGTGGAGGAAGCATATCATATCTTAAAAGCCCGACCCCTGTTCTGGATACCGAAGAGATGATACCAAAAGTCTGGTGATTAAGTGAACTATGGTAGATGCTAGCAGTGGCACATGCTGATGTGCTAGCTGCAGGCTGTGATATTGGAGCACCTTGGAAGATTCTAGAAGGAGAATACCATTCTCTGACGCCAAGCGTTCCCACCGCTTAAATTCCGGCGTCCACTTGGACACCAAAACAAAACAATGGATTTCTTTAATAAAGAGAGAATTTATTATAGAATAGTAGTATTTTAAAAAGAAGTATATAAAGAATTATCATTAAGCACTTGGGCACAAGTAAGCACTTGTGATTATGAGCATCATCTTCGGCTTCGAATTGACATGGGTGTTAGAAAAGTTGAAATTGCAGGCAAGGAATTGGTAATTCACGAGCTTGACGACGTGAACGACCCGGACACGGGGCGCGCTCTCACCGGTTCCTGGGTCTGGGACTCCTCCCTCGTCCTATCCGACTGGATAGTGAACCATGGTCAGGAAGAGCTTAACCTGAGTGGTCAGACTGTGGTCGAACTCGGTGCTGGAACTGGACTTCCCGGTTTGATGGCGGCACTACTGGGCGCTACCCGAGTTGTTCTTACCGACGTTGCACTGCTGCTTCCCGGGCTGAAGAGGAACGTGGAAGCTAACCAACTTGAGGACCGAGTGGAGGTAAGGGAGCTCGAATGGGGATCGGACGAGTCGTTGCAGTGTCAGGAGGGTGGAGAGTTGGAGGATGTGGACTTGGTGCTTATGTCAGACGTGTTCTACGACCCATCAGAGATGGCAGCGCTGGCTAAGACGCTGAGGAAGTTGTGTGGTGCGCACACGAGGATCTGGTCGGCAAGTGAGGTTCGGCCATGGACCAGCGATTGCCTGGACGAGTTGAGGAGTGAAGGGTTTGGTGTGATTGAGTTGCCGAGTGACTTCACTCCGTCCTCTTCGGCCTCAACGGCTACCGGAAGCCAACCGACGTTTTCTGTTTTCCATCTAATACCCCCAGACCCAGACTTAGACGTACACCCAGTCACTCAATGTAATTCGGAAATTGAATTTAACCCACTAGACGTTTGATGTACAAGTCAGGTCCGTTACCATGATACAATGGCTGTCGCAGTGTAGCCTGTGGCTGGGCACCTCTCAGTTCTCACCATTAAAAAACGATAGAAGGAAGGAAGGAAGGAGTGCCAGAAAATGTTTACAATACTTTTTAAGTCGAGTAATATGCAGCTTTACTATGCAACTTTACAGTACCAGTGGCCAAGCAAATAAAATTTCCCCCAGCAAAAGTGAAGTAGAATTTGCGTTTACATTCATATCAATTCATTTCCATATGGCATGTATAAAAACAATATTCTATCGGAAAATTCCATTGATACACTCAACACTGGATATTGGACTACAACTCGCATATGGATCCCTTGAAGAGTAGCATTCATCCGACATATATCGAAATTGCTTACCATTTGCCAATGGTCAAAATTTCGATACAAATACAATACACCCCATATTGGGTGTATGAATCGTATTTTTTGATTTCTGATATATTTGTTTACAGTTAGTTATCGGAATTCATTTTTTTTAAATAATATATAATTAAAATTAAAAAGAACTAAAAAACAAAAGGAGTATAATTCAAAGTACCAATAGAGGTGTATTGATGCTTTCAACCATGCCAGTTGGAGGCGGAGAAATATATCATCTACCACTTTGTTTTCACCTTACTTTCCATGTATGTATTTTTATGTTGATTTAAATTTTTCTAAAGAATTTCGAACTTCAACTCTTTCGCCAATGAAACTATAAAATGCCAGTTCGCCTATCCTGATTAAGAATTGATTTTGTTCTGGTTCATAGAACCGATTAATAATTGGTTTGGAACCATCGGCTCTGAACTACAGTATTTATATTTACCGAAAGAGTACATTCCTGAATTCTGGATAATTTCAAGTAGAGAACCCCTTTATTAGATTTGTCTGAAAAAGGCATAAAAATGTCTCAAATACCCATGCTTCCAAATTTTCTCTTTATAATAATCACTATCCCAAATCCTTTCAATCACTTTTCTGAAATTGATTTTGATATCAATCACTCAAAGGTAAAGCTGTAATTTTAATTTTTCTTTTTTTTTTATTATTCATAAAACTGCAGTCTCAATAGTAATTATTTGGGTATTTTGGATATTTTTATGATTTTTTTTAGAAAATTCTACTAGAAGGGACTTACTTATAACTGTATTAAAAAGTTCAAAGGAGGTGATTGTACTTATTAAACTTAAGAGGAGGTTTCAGGCTTTCAGCAATTTACCCCTTATTTTATTTTGGTAAAATAATTTGTTTCCGAAAGCGGCAAGTAAGGATGAAAAATCAGCTGAGCCTGCTGAGATCCTCGAATGGTCATCTCTGCGACTTACTATTGCTTTTGAGTTTCGCCCGAGGAAAGTTGTGGCGAGCTGGTCTAATCTCTCTAATCACATTGGCGATAGTCCGAACCAATCCATTGGGATAATGGGGGCATCAGCGTTGCTTGCTCGTATTCTGGTTCTATTACTTGGTACAATAACACAAGTGCAACTTTGCCAGCAACATTCCACATTTAGCTTGATTTCCTTCTCATGATTCATAACAATGGGATTATGATTCATCTTTAAATCATGAAAATAAAAAGCAAAATAGAAATTATTAATATATTAAAGTCAAACAAAATTGTGAATCTTTTTTTTTTTATGCATTCTTGCTTACAAGCCATTCAGTTTCCATGAAATTGTATATGATAAAAAAGGGGTGGTCTCCCCTTTCGCCAAATGGAATTAATTTAATTATTTATTAAATTTATCAATTATAATTACTAACCATTATAAGTAAATTAATTTAATTACTGCTATCTATTTATTTTAATCCGCTTTTAATAATTACGGATTAATATAGTAATTTAATAAATATATAATTAATGATTATAATTAATAATTATTGTTATTATAAATATTGCTAATAACTAGATATTTACTTTAAATTAAAATTATAAATACTGTTAATAAATTTAGTAACCTGGTTTTATAAATACTGTTATTAATAAGTTTAGTAACTATTGTTATATTAAAAATAATTACAAATGTTATTAAAAGTATTGTTATTGATTATTTAATAAAATATTATACTTACTGACTATTACTAATAAATACTGTTAATTTAATTTAATTTTGGTAATTATTAATTTAATGAATTATTGTTAAAAAATCCTATTCATAAATTTAATATTTACTGTTATATTAAAAATAACTAAATAATATTATTAAAACTATCATTAATGATTATTTAATAAAATATTATAATTACTTACTATTATTGCTAAATATTGTTAATAACGATCTGACAACCAACGGTTCGATCGTCCGATTTGAATGGATGGTCCATTCTGACAATAAAAATTATAGGCAAAAAATTGAGTGTGTGAGATCCATTAAGTAGTATCATATGTGTTGTGTCATTGGAGCGTGTGACTCATACGACCCCAAAATAGAACCGTTATGGCCACCGGTTTTTGGGTCAACGGTTCGATCGTTCAGTTCAAACGGATGGCCCATTCTGACAACAAAAAATTACAAGAAAAAATTTATGGAACTGTTCTAGCCATCGGTTTTCGGGTCGACGATTCAATCGTCTGATTCGAACAGATGACCCATTCTGACAACAAAAATTACAGGAAAAAAATTGAGTGTGAGGTCCATTAAGTAGTATCATACATGTTATGTCATTTGAGCTAGACCTGTTCATGGGTCGGGCTCGGGCTTGGCTTTTGTCAAAATTTTAATGGGCCCGGCCTAAAGCTTGAGCTTGAGATAGCATAAAGTTGGGCTCAAATCCCGGCTCGTGAATGGGTCTAATTCGAGCGTGTGACTCATACGACCCGAAAATGGAACCGTTTTAGCCATCGGTTTTCAGGTCGATGGTTCGACCGTCCGGTTCGAACAAATGGCCCGTTTTGACAACAAAAATAAAAAAATAAAAAAGATGGCCAAAAAAATTGAACGAGTCAACGAGTTAACGGTTCGACCACTTGGGTCAATGGATCGTTGACTACTCAACTGTTTTTGGCCAGGGACCAGGATTGGGGTAAAACGGAACCGGTTTCCTGGATGGTTCCCAGGCCGAAATGTCCATCCGTCCGGGTCAGCGACGGTTCGAAAACCATGGTTTTTATGCTTTTGGATTTTCACTATTCAAAGGTTTCTTCTACTGTGGGCTTTATTCGAGCGTGTGTAGTATATTCATTTTTTTTTCATTTTTTGCTTTTGTTTTTGTTTTCTTTTTATTTTTTGTATTTGGTCTTCTTCTTTAAGATCCTCCAAAACGGTATAGGGTTTATCACCATTTTATTTATTACCTTTTGTTTTTTCTTTGGGTTTTCTTGTGCATTTTTTTTTTATTTTCTTACAAGACAGCTTTGTCTCTTTCTTTGATTGCATGTATGTTTAGTTCCGTCTCAAAGTGGAACTTTGGACTCAATTTTCTAGTTTTTTTTCTTGGTTTTTTCAATTTGGTGGATTTACCACGAATTTTTTATGTGTTTAAGGTCACTTTGGATTTAATTTTCAAGATTTTGGAATCCCTTGCAATGCCCACCCTTCCCATGACTACAACTACAAAGTTACTTTGTCTAATTATTGACACCTA